AAAAAAAAAAAAATTAAAAAAAACTTCAAAGTAATAAGTTGAAATAAAAAAAATTAAAAAAAGGCTTGGTGCCTGTGGTTCAAGTGGCTAAGGCGCCAGCCACGTACACCCAAGGTGGCGGGTTCAAATCCAGCCTGGGCCCGCCGAACAACAATGATGGCTGCAACAAAAAAATAGCCGGGCGTTGTGGTGGGTGCCTGTGGTCCCAGCTACTTGGGAGGCAGAAGCAGAAGACTCACTTGAGCCCAGGAGTTGGAGGTTGCTGTGAGCTGAGATGCCATGGCATTCTACCCAGGGGGACAGCTTGAGGCTCCTGTCTCAAAAAAAAATAAAAAGGACATCAAGGCACTTCATAATTGAATTTATTCAAAAACCCATGAGGAGAAAATCTTAGGAGGGTCAGATTTCTGCCATGGATCATAGTTTCCCTTGTTGCTCATGTTAAAGTAATTACAGCTGCCCTATACATACATACATTTATATGAATCATTAAAATTCTCCTTAAAACAGGCAGCGCCTGTGGCTCAGCTGGTAGGGTGCTAGCCCCATATATGAGGGTAGAGGGTTGGAATCCAAACCCAGCCAAATTGCGACAAAAAAAAATAGCCAGGCATTGTAGTGGGCACCAGTAGTCCCAGCTACAAGACAATCACCTAAGCCCAGGAGTTGGAGGTTGCTGTGAGCTGTGACACACATCACTCTACCGAGGGCAATAAAGTGAGACTCTGTCTCTACAAATCTTCAAAAGGGTAGGGCACTGGCCCCATATGCCAGAGGTGGTGGGTTCAAACCCAGCCCTGACCAAAAAAAAAAAAAAACAACATAAGCAGTCTGGGCCGGGCGTGGTGGCTCATGCTTGTAGTCCCAGCACTGGGAGGCTGAGATGGGTGGATCGCCTGAGCTCAGAGATTCGAGACCAGCATGAGCCGGAGTGAGACCCTGTCTCTACCGAAAAAAAAAAAAAAAGCTGGGCATTGTGGTAAGTACCTGTAATGCCAGCTACGTGGGAGGCAAAGGGCAAGGGAATTGCTAAAGAAAGAAAGAAAAAAATAATAATAAGCAGTCTGACCACTAGCAATTTAGGACCCAAGAAGCAACCTGGTGATGAGCTTTTGAGTTGATTTTTTTGTTTGTTAGCCT